TGATTGGCTTCTATATGCATTTAGTAATAATATATTTATACTAATGTATAAAATATTCCAATCTCTTTTGGTGCTACCTTGAGCTTAAGTCTTTTGCAATCTTAAATTCATGATTATTGTCTACTTCTATAAGAAGAGATGACATTTGTCTTCTTTCTAGTACATCCATTGTCTTTTATAGTCTAAAAAAGGATACATAAAATAGATGATAGATTTTCATAAATTTTGGTAGGTGTAATCAATAAGAAATTAGATTGATTTTTTTTAAAAAAAATAAATGGTCTAAGTCTACAATAATCTAACTTATTACAAAAGTAAGTAGTTTTGATATTACAATGAAAGAAACATATCTTGCTGTTAATGAAAAATTGAGTTTGTTCTTTGCAATATGCATCAATGTTGATTTTTTATTGTTCTTAAGCTTTCTTTAATTGTAAATTTATCATTGTATGTAATTCTATTAAAAAAATTGTTAAATCTTCTAAAACATGATTATTAATATATAATAAGTTAAAAATATCAATTTATAGATAATAATCCTAATTAACATAAAAAAGTACTTATTATACAGAAAAATGTATCATATTATTATAAATAAATTTTATTAATAACAAAAGAATTATCTAGTCATCTTGATGGTAGTTGATAATACATCTCAAATATTGCTCCAATACTTGATTTATATGTTTTGTTTGTCCATGAGTTTGAAGATGAAAAACTCAAGTTAGTTTTATATCCATCTTTAATATCTTGAAAAGGATTCTCCAAAACCTTGATACAAATTGAATTCTTGTATTTGATATAATATCCTTTGATAATCCATGATAGCAATAAATATTATTAAAAAAAATAGTTATTTCTTTAATTATGGTAGTTTTTATATATAATATAAAATATATCATTTTGATGAAAAAAATATACTATTATAAATATAGAATCATAAGAACTTGAAATTAAAAGATCAATGATAAAATCCATAGAAAAATAAGACCATAATTGTTCTAGTATTAGTAATGGCTAAATTATATTTTAAAATGAATGAAAAGAAATTTTTGATCTTAAAAAAAAAAATTACATGATTTTACAAAGTCTTTAATTGCCTTACACATTTGAGACCACCAAAAATATCTTAATATCAATTCTAATATCTTATTATATTCAAAATATTGTGAAAATTAATCCAAATAGGAGTCGAGTTGTGTCTTGAAGATGAATTGAGCAATCATAATAATAATGCTCTAAAAGAATATCTATGCTTTTTTTTTTAATAAAAACATCTTCATAATCTTTATGTCAACTTGAAATTTTGCTTGAAGTCTTTCTACCATCAAAAATGAGTATAGCATAAATAAATAAAAATTACTATTTTTTTATAACATGCATTAAAGTTCTTATTTCTATCTATAAAGATTTAGTTGTATTAAATTCATGACTTTCTACCTTGATAACCAAAGTCTAAGTTATATTAATAAAAAAATCAAGATTACAAGAAATTTAATATATTTAAAGATTATATTTCTTTAACCACAATAAATCTAAAATAATTAAGTTTCAAATTTAATAATATAAAATATTACCAAGCTAATATGACTATTAATTGCTACATCTATGAAAATGATTTTATAGATAAAAACTTTTGAAGAGAATAAACAATCATCTATAACTTCTATATGTACAAGTTTAGATTTCTTGACTAAAGATATTTTTATTTTTTAATACAAGAATATAATTCTCATTTTATACTATATTAGATTTAAGAGTCTCAATTTTTCTTTGTCTATAAAAAAAATTGAGGCTCCTAAATCTAATAAAATAGAGACTTTGTTATTTTTTGATTGTAAATAAATATTTATTTTAAAGCAAGATGAGAGATTTGAAGAAAGAATATGACCTTTAGTAGATATTGTATAAGATTCCAACCACATGTTTTCTATTGTAGCTAGACAAACTTGTCTCTATTGCAATTGTTTTTTGCAACTATGCTCTTCATTTTGTAATTGCATTGCCTTTTTAGACAATGTTGAGCAATGTGCTTAAGTTTTTCACAATATAAGTAAAATATTTTTTAATAATGTTAAGTCTTTTCTTACTCAATGAGAGATTTAAAATGTATTATATCAATTTGCATATATTTATGTCTTAATGAGTAAGTTCCCAAAACTTAAAAATTATTGTCATGACTTAACTTGTTCTTCTTTAATAAAATCTTTGTTCTTAGCATCTTTTAAAAAATTAATTGTTTTATGCAATGGCTTGAATAATAAATTATTTCAATGAATTTGCTTTCAACATTGTCAAAGGTAGAAACTAAAATACTTCCAAATAGAAGTATGTTCATGAGTCTAACTTGATTAAATCCATTATAATATTGAAAAATATGTAATTTTAAATAGAGCTTGACTTATTGTAGAAATTCTTAAATTTTTAAACTTGTCCTATCAAATTTCTTTGGCATATTAATCCTTGATTCTTTCATATTGTATATAATATTAAATATTATATTTAAAAATATATATATATTATTTAATAAATAAAATAAATATTAAATACTATATAAATATTATCCCATCTAAATTATATATAAATATATAAAAATATATTTTAAATTAATTTTATTAAAATTTTAATCTATTTTTAAATTTTTGATTAAAATATTAAATTCCTGAATTTTATAAGTTTTTAGTATATTATTTAAGATTTTTAATTATATTATTTTTAATGAATTTTTTTAATTTTATTTTTAAAATTTAAATATTTTATTGATATAAAAAAATTACATTTTAAACTTTACATTTTAAATATTCTAATTTTTTTTAAATATTTTCTAGAAAAAATCTTATAAAATTTCATTTTTATTTCTTGATTTTAAATCCATTACAAATTATCATTAAGGAATTTAGATTTTTTTATTTTAACAATATCTTTAGTTTATTTTAAATTCAAAGTCTTAATCTTCTTTTTTCTTTAATTTTTTTTATCTTTAATTGGATTTAATTGCTATTTCTATTAACAGTCTACAACTACATTTTTACAGTAGTCAACTTATTAATTTCAATATCCTACAACTTGTTATTTGTACTTCTAATTTTTAGTATTTATTTGTGCAATGCATGCTTCAATTGATTAATATTCAATTAATCACAACACTCCTTTGCTTCTTTAAACAACACTGTCTTAAACTTTCATTTCTAAGAGACTTTATTGAATCACTTTTTAAAAAAATTAATCACTTTGTTTCAGTTTTCCTCATTGTTCCGGAGAGTTTGTGTCCGATTATAATAAGTGGCAACTTCTTTTTTCTTTTTTCATGCTGAGTCATGATTTTCGATTGTTTTGCTTGTATTCCACAATCCTGCTGCAGCTACCACTCAAGGCTATCAGTTTATATTCTTTTACCACTTTCTGGCATTGGCCACATAATCTGGGCATTTGAGGTGTTCCAATCTGTCCACCAGCGGCTTCACCTAGTTAAGCACATAATTCTTAAGGGTGGTCTTGAACTCTGGTGTTTTTTGGCAACTTGGTTCATCAATGTATGAAAGTTGCTATCTCTTTGTTTTGTTTGTACTTGTTATCAATATGCATTCAGTAAAAATGTTAAGGCTCTCAAATTCAAATTCAATCTTCAAAGGCAAAATAAACTTAATTCATTCAAGGAATATGCAGAACAAATGAAATTTTCATTTCATTTGTGTGTGTATATATATATATATATATATACATACATGTGGCTGTGTGCGTGTATGTAGTGAGAGATGGAGAAAAAGTGAGAAAATAGTTATTAGTTTTACGGAACTGCCAAATGGACTTGAGAACATAAACCGGAAATTTAGTTGTCATCTGGGGTTTGAATAGCAATGAAATGTTTTTAAGTAAAATTGGTAGACACTCGGAAGTTTTTTAATAAGAAAAATTAGTTAATCTTTTACAGTATAAAAGTGTTTTCAATGCTTGTAGATCAAAAGTAATCATTTTGACATAAACTTCGTTAATGTATGTTTTGTGCATGTTGGAGGTTTCTCTAGGATTTTCACAAATGAAATCATGTCCTTTAATATAATGATTACAAAAGTTTAATTGTAAAACTTTTTTTGTATACATTGTGGAATCTTCAACAAACAATGATATCATTATTTTTCAGAACAAATTATGGACAAAATATACTGTAAGTATAAGCTATGTTAATTTAAAACAAAAACGGAGTTTAAATTATTTATTATTCACAATCTCACTATTCATTAACAATCAAAAATTTCACAATCAGACAACCAGATCAGAAAAGATATATGATTTTGAAGACATGTCTAAATAATGAAATTGTGTTGAAAATATGTAGAATATTTTTATACATGTTTATTTCTCATTTCTTATTTTTTTCAACTATGTATTGTTAAAATCCTCTCATTTCTAAAGGATGTTGGTGTTTAATGCTTTCTCCAGTTACTGATACAACTTGTTAAGATTATGTCATGCATGGGTCGCATTATTTCTACATTTATTATTATTATTATTATTACGAACACTGAATTTTATTCTACATTCTTCCGTAAAAGATACTCAATTTTGAATGGACTAAAAATCTGTGATTCAATGTCAGACATTCAAAACCCCAACTACAGTGCTACATTACAGAGAGTTGGAAATGTGAATGAGAGAACGTCAAATCTAGTCTGGAGCAGAGGAATTTAAGTTTAGTTGCGGCAGTGACCCCGGGATTAGACAATATGATGCTCGTGCCCACCAAGCGACGAAGTAAATGAGTAGAGACATCCGGTTCGTTGGTAGCAGCACTCGGCTATCCTGCAGAAAACGAAGCTTACACGAAGCTAGGTATGAAACCTCAGCAGCTGTACCCTAAACAAAATGCAAAAATCTGAACTAAGATCAGAATAGGTGACATTGGGTTGAGCGTCCGTTCAGCTATAATGTTCAGTAAAAGTGTGTGTCAACGACAGTAAGGTTGATGTAATCCGAGATCATGCAAACTGGACAATCAGACAAATGGAAATCGTTCTGTGCATGTCATTGGTCATCAGACAAATCATATCACTTGTGCTAGTATACTCCCAACTCTGATTGATGCCAATGATAACCGCTGTATAGCCATCTGAAATATCCACCAGCATGAAGGTCGGAATACAACCTTCATTATACAACCACCTTGAGCCAGATGGTTGAGTAGACGCTCGCTCACGAATCAACATGAGCCCAGAACTGAACACTAAACTGAATTAGTGTGGACCCTGAGACCATGATGGTGCACGGCTTGAACTATAATGCACTAGAAGCTGATGTGAAAGGAAAGAAGTTTGACCATCCTTTTGTGCCCAAGTCCTTTTTACTCATACATGGAGGCAGCCTTTCGACATCAGACTCTAAACCACACCAGAAGGAAGCCGCACCATCATCTGGCCGTCCATTACACTGCCACAATAAACACAACATAGTTAGACGTACAATCTCTACGCCACTCTCTACTAAAATGTTGTGCACAAACTACATATCTCAAGTTTTAAGGTTAAAAAAGATTATCAGAAAAGTATCAATTTGTAATGCTTGCTTGCCTCTTTCACTCACAAAGAGAGCATCATCTTACATGTCTAATGATTTAGAACATACCTCTTTACATAGTAATAGCAAAAATCGGCCAAGATGGTTGTCTGTACAATTTCCGAGAGGAGAACCATTCCAGGCCATAATCCATAGCCTAGTACATTGAGCAGGAAGCTGTGCCCATCCAATACCTGTGGATCAAAAGAGGAACTCATCACACTTCGTATTTTCGTTTCTAGGGGAAATATATAAATATCTGAATAAACAGTTCAATACCCTTCATTCTCTAGCTGGTCAAGGGAATTTCCACTCAGATAACTCCCCTCCAATCGGAGTGTGACGGATTTTCTCAAAATTATATATTCAAAATTGAATGAGCAGTGTAGAAAGCAGATAGAGAATGCAAGTTACCTGAAGAATCCAGTGTGCACAACTCAAAAATCGTGCAATTCCTAAGGCAAAGACGTAGTGAGCTGTGAAAGGCTCAACGACCTGCAAATTAGACCAGTTAAGATTAAAACAAAGCAAGCGTGATTTGAAGGCACTGCTGGGGATACACTGAATTAAACATTGATACAACTATTTGAAACTCAAAAAAAAGAACCAATATAACTGAGGGCGTCCAAGAATCCCAAGTTTTGAGGAGGTTGGTCAAAACTTGGGTCAAACTACTAATCTTCGTGGATGCAATATTAAAAGGACATCACATACCCTAGTATTCTGCATAACACGAAGCTGTGGCATGACGGACACCGCCTCCAAATAGACACAGAAAGCCCACAACACACGGTTGATAATATTGTGGGCGGTGCTTGGATGTATCAAGATGGCCAGTATTGCACACGGAACAAGCTGCAGATATGAGAGCCAAAAAGTTATGAATAATTTGAGACAGGACGAAACTAAAAAATGCGTCATACCAACAACCCATGACCCTTGGATTCTAAGCAACAAACGGCAAAGCTGAGATGACATTGCTCTCGACAAAGAAGGTAATCACAGCTGGGCTTGTACCGACCAAGATACAGTCAATGTGCTCAGAAAACCGCTAACTTACCACGTAGTATTTAGGGAGATTGTCGAGATCGTCTGAAGTAGTAGATTTTAGCTTAAACCGCATCATGTAGATCACCCACGCAGTTGTGAGGAATGTCAAGAAATCCAAGAGAGTGTGAAGGTCAAATTCCATCACCAAGCTACAATAGAGACGCACCATTAGAAAAATGGCCGTAAGCTCCTGTGACTTAAGCGAAAGTCCTGCATTTCAATATCACATCATGAACATCAAAACTCGATTGAAAGATCCCACATTATTTAGAGCTACTCAATTTTGGCAAACACGATTAATCTGTGCTGGCGATAATTGTTAGTAAAAACTGGAACAACTGCATTACCTGCCAACTGCTGCTTTAAATTCTAGAAGGTAAATAGAGTCCCAAAAGCCAGGTAATTCTAGACCAGTATGTCTTACACAATTATCAAAACTCGAACAATGTAGCCAGTGAGGGGACAACGCAATCACTAGTCCATATTTGTAAATTATGCATGCTCCAGACATGGCATGTACTGCTTCCTCATCGCCATGTAGCAGAAGTAAACCCCCGAAAGAAGGAAATGGAAAGGAAGACTAACCAGCACAAGTCTTCTCCTTCATTAGCTTGTAGATTAGACACCCGATTCCAACAGCATGAACAAACTCAGCGGCCACGAACAGATTGTCATGGTCACGAATAACAAACCGCAGAAATATGAGAACCAAGATGCCAGTCAGCACCGCCAAGGCCGTTTTCACTTTAGGGGGCTGCTTCTTCACCCACCACACAGCCGTCTGCACAGGATTCCGTGCTCTCCTCATTGCTGCCACCACACACTCCAAGTCCTACTTGCTGATACGCCCTCACAAAAAAAATAAAACGTGCCGAAATATGATCAACACCCTGCCATCCCACATGCGAAATTGAGCTTAAGCCCTCATTCCGCAGGTTCATGCACATCAATCATCGACCCACACAACGGGCCCTCTCTCCAATCCTCAAGAACGAAACCCCTCAATTACAAAACCCTAAAGCTCCACAAAACGTAAAACCCACATAGACCCATCAAGCTCTCAACCATGGCAACTCAATCCGACACAAACACCAGCTTCAGAGACCCAACAAATCCCAACCAAATCACTCACTGTGGACTACGGCTTGCACGTAGACAGTGTCAGCAACGCCTGATCCTCGGCATAAAGCACCCCACAGCCCTTGAATGGGGTCATGGGTGTATTCGACTCTGCAGACTTGGAATCGGATAAACGGAACCGATGCACGAACCGTGACGGGGCTTTGGATTCGGTTTAACGTGATGACTGACTCACTGACCCCCGAAGCAAACGTGAATCGCGTGAGCATCCAATCCACTTCGGTTGCAGCATCAACGTGATTTCTTCTTCTTCGTCGTCTTCACTTCGTAAGCCTTGCCACCTCGCCACCCATCTACGACTCACCTAGATTCTTCGGTGTTATGGGCTCCCTCGCTGCGAAAAACATCAGTGAAACTCCTCTCTTGTGGAGACAGGTCACACGGTCATCAGCCTCCTTCTGTATGCCGTTTTATGATAAGAAACGTCGCAGCGCCACGTGGCGGCATACAATTGCGAGACTAGAGTCATGTGCCCATTGCGGACCAGTGATCCACCATAAAGGAGAACAACGAGGTCATCACATACGGTGTATAATATGTTTATATGGATATTCGTATAGTATGGATGCTTCGTCGATGACGTACGTCCGCTGGTTTTGACGTTATCCGGATCTCGGTGAAATCCTGTAGCTGTAGTAAATTCGTGACGCGAGTGAGCAGCACATTAGCGGTGACGCAACTAGAAGTTTGTCGAATCCATAGTAGTCTAGATGATTAGGATACGCGGCCCTCACACGAGCGACCCAGGTTCTTATTCCGGAAACGGAAGCTCCCGAGTGAGAAGATGGACTACTCTCACTTCTTGCGACCTTTCAGGTCTACCCGAGTGAACAGATTAGGCAAACTTTAGAGTAGGCCTAATTGTGAACAATAGAGTCATTTTCTATCTTAACATTAAATGGAGTGGGCATTGAATGAAAAAGTTGGAGGCATTGTACCTTTTTATTTTCTTAGAACAACATTGATGCCATTACAACCATAAAGTTTGGTTTTGGTAACTTCTCTGTATGTGACATAAATAGTAATGATGGAAAGATGGTGTTAGAGATATAGCACTCTAGTAGAACAAGACTTTAAGAGTTTAAGAAATTGAAACATTCATTGTATATGCCACATATATAATTAGCATTTTTTATTTATATCTCTTAGTTCTATCAAACATTTAGAAAGAAAAGATATGTAATTTGATGTGGTTTGTTTGAAATTCTTTTCTAAGCAAAAAAAGAAATGTCAATGAAAATACAGCTCATGTTTAGATTGTAGAGAATTTGGCCACAAGTTTGATAGTTACAACAAAAAGAATCAACATATACATTGGATAAATAGTGTGATTACAAAATCAAATGCTTTGGAAGAAAATAAGGATATTCAACTACAATAAGAAATGTGCAATTGAATTCTTCTATTCTATAAACTAAAAAATGTCTTGTATTGTCATCTAACTCATCTTATTGTATTATCATATGAATATGTCTAAATACTCAAAAACTATAAATCTTTACTTTAATAGATTTAAGAGCCTTTACTTGCTTCATTGACATAGAATTTTTTTTTTTTTTAATCCATAAAGCTCTTATTATCAAGAATCCTACAATTATCTAAGTATAGATCATGGATAATCAAATCTTATCTTTTAGAGACATTACTTATGAAATTATTTCATTTGAATTAATAATAAAGAATCATAATATTTAGATTGTATTTAATATCATTAGATCTTTACCTAACTCCATCATTTCATAATATTTTGTCTAAAAAAATATAATCTCTATATTAATATGATGTTATCAACAAAATAAATTAAAACAAAGCTCTAAAAATGCAATATACTTTTGCAACCATGTCATTAAAAAATAAAAATAGAAAATAAAAAATAAAAATAAATAAAAAATAAAAATTAAAATAAAAACTAAAATAGTTATTTCTAAATACAAGAAACTAGAGATACTTGAGCTAAACAAGAATAAAAAAAAGATGTTGATAAGAATGAAGAAAGTCTCAATCTTACCTCCAAATATACAATCTAACTAATGGGCTTCTTAGCAATGTTCTATAGATCATTGAACAAAAAATCAAGTTGCAAGACATGTGAATAACTTGCAAATTAAGTTTTCAATATGTGTGCCATATGGCCAACTTGTACCACAAGTTACTAATATTTGTAATACACATCCAACTTCTTGGCCAAGTTTTCAACCTATTAATTATCCAAAAATACTTATTAAGTCAAATTTGTATCAATAAAGCTTCTAAGAAGCTTTTTGTTTTAAATATGCATAATTATCTAAAAAAGAAGTATTAGATAAAAGATAAATGTAGGTAGATTTCATAATACCTTATAAAAAATCTTCATAGATGCAAATTTGAGTTTATAAGTATTTATAGTTGATTGATATATTGGAATCTAAGCCAACAAGTTGGCCACATGTTGCATATGTTGATAACTTATGGTACAAGTTGGCCATGTGGTACATATATAAAAAACTTGTCTTATAAATTAAACATATGTTTTACAAGTGGACAAATATTGGAGATTTTATAGAATATTGTCACGTAGCTTGTAGTTAGATAGTATATATGGAGATAAAAATGAAGCTTTTTTTAGACTTCTTAATACATTTCTTGTTCTTAGTCTTATTTTAAGAATCTCTATTTTTTTTGTTTTTAGTAGTAATCATTTTAGTTTTAATACTATACTATATTTTGAGTGATTATTTAATCTTTTGAGTAAAAAAAGAATGTATTGAGGTTTTTATTATTTTTCATTTATATCCTTGACACTTTTTCATAAGGTATTTATAAAATTTTCTTATTTTACTTCTATCTAATTTTTTTTATATTTTTAAGTAATAATACCAATATTAATGTCTATGATAAATATTTTATAAATTAAATTTATTTAAAATACCACATTTAATAATTGCTAAATTTAATAGGAAATTCCACACACCTTATAGATTTAAAGTCATAAAACATCATTTTTTGGAAAGAAGAGTTTTTTGAGAGAAGACAAAAAAATAGTTTTTATGTTATTTATGCAATCCTAATATTTGAAGTAATAATTATTTTAATAATCCTTCTAAAAGAACAAAACATATTAAAAAATATACTTAAAAAAAAAAAAAAACAAACAAACAAACTAACAAACAAACAAACAAACAAACACCTCACTAAATCATTATTCATATGGTTGTACTATTGATCTTCAAGATAATACACATCTACCTCTTGGTTCAATTTATAACTTATTATAAAAACAAATTATAATATTAAAATAATATATTAATAGAAATTAAAAAATAATATTTTAATATTTCAAATTTCATGTTGGTACGCTTATACTTTTTGTTAAAAAAAAGATTGATCAATATAAATTCTTTGTATTATAAAATATCTTGCCATCTTTTTCAAATTGCTTATAAGTCTTTTTTTACTTTCAATCTATTCTCTTTGACATTCTTTTTTTGATTAAATATAATTAATTTATTCTAGATTGATAAGGTATTCGGACAAGATTTTGTGCATAGACTTTAACTTTGGCTTTTGATTTTGCAAGAGCATTTGAATTGCTTTGCAACAACACAATTTGTTATCTATGTTTTTGGCTATTTATCTCATTAGGTGGACTTATCTTTAGAAAGAATTAGCTCATTGGCTTGCTCTTCATATATTATGATGTTTTTCTCTTTCTTTACTTTAAAATTAACCTTAAAATTTTCTATCAGTATGTCAAATATAAGCATTACAAATTGTTGATTTTCCTAAAAAGTTCTTAATTTTGAGTATCTTGTTATTAATTTTAACAACCACAACATTCTTTTGATTTTTTTTGGATATTTTTTATTAAAAAATAAAAAAATAAAAAATATTTCAACAATAAACTTATTATCTTTGGTTGGAAATAAATAAGGTTTTTTTTTTTTTATTATTATTGGGATTTATTTTGAAACCAAAATAAGATTTTCAAAAAAAATAAAAAAATAAAAAAATATTATTAATATATAATAGATTTTTTTTATAATTAGATAAAAAAATATAATTCTTTACATTAGTAACTTGCATAAAATCACTTATTTTTAATACCACACCTATTTGTGTATTTATAAAATTTATAATTCTAAATTTTTATTTATTTTTATTGGTTCTTATTTGCATAGTAGAATTGAGGTTGTTTTCATTTCTATTTGATTGAGAATTTGGAGAGCTATCATGAATTGAAGCTAGTAAAGCATTGATTTTTGAGCTTGATACATGCACATCTGCTAAACCACCATTAATGCCAATTAAAGATGCAAATGTAGAAGGAAGAACAATTGTTAATGCCGAAGTTGTGGATGCATATCTATTTATATTTCTAAAGTCAAATGCTAAGGTAGAGACTTTGATACTTGTATTTTTTGAGTCAAAAGATAAATTAGGATTTTTAGGATCTCTCTCTCTTGGCTTTAAAGATGGCAATTTAAGTGTAGGTCCGCTATTGTACTTTCTATTGCTTAGAAAATTCTATAAATAAGATATTTTATGCTATTCTAATTTTAATTATGATATATTTTCTACTAATAATATATTTTCTACTAATAATATATTTTCTATATATAGTTGAATTCATAATTTATTAATGAATCAAATTTGTATTGTATAAATTGGCCAAATTTTTGCTTATATTCAATGGTGAAAACTTAGCTACTTCCATCTTATCTTATTGGGAAGAACCATTAGTTCCAATGTCGTTGAAGTGCTCAATTGCTATCAAATCTTATGCATATTATATTATAATAGAAGTAATTTAATTACAAATAAAATAAGTATGTATAATATATAATAATAAAACTTACAATTGAATACATAGGCTTTCATATCATATTACTATTTATACTTTTTTCATTAATGTCAACATTTAATTTGATTGAATGTTGGCTATTACAAATTGTAATAACTTGATATATATAATTACTCTTAAAAATAATTGCAAATGAAGCATTTACAAATTGCTTCAAAATTTTGACACAATAAACTTCATAAGTTAATATCTATATAAATATTTTTCTTTCCTTGATTTAATCAAGTCTAAACTTAAATATTGAAGTATCAACTTTAAGAACTTTATATCCTTCATTGCAATTATTTTGGCCCTTTATATTCATAAACAAGTAAGAAGATAGTAGCAAATTTTTTTTTTTTTTTTTTTTTTTTTTTTTTTAATCATAGCATA